ACGGTTCAACGATTAAAACCTTAGAACCAAAAGATATTACCGAATAACTCCTTGATCCACGCTAGAGTACCGAATAAAGTAATTATCGGTATCTTGCGTCCATGTTGCTGTGGAATCACCAATGGCAAATTTCTGAGATGGATCATCAAGCCCTTCTTGGCAAGCCTATAACAGGAAGAACAACAAAACTGGCGTACATGTACTACAACTATGGTGTACTATTTACGACACACATTTCTTTCTGTGGAATCACCAATGGCAAATTTCTGAGATGGATCATCAAGCCCTTCTTGGCAAGCCTATAACAGGAAGAACAACAAAACTGGCGCACATGTACCACAACAGAGTTTGACTGCAGCAATAGAAACAGTGATCCTACCCACAAAAAGGCGGTTAAGCCTTTTTATACTGTCTGATATCGGACCATTCAAATAATGAGCGAACTCTAGACGCCGATCCATCTTTAGTATCACATCGTGAAAGACGTCGTTGTGCATTGCAATCACCCTATGAGCACGGCTTAGATTAAAAAGGAAAATTTTACCCAACTTTCTTTCAGTCCGTGTATTTTGTTTTCTACCCTCCATTTTTATTGTCATGAAGTGCAGCATTTGGTACGAGAATGCATGAAGCCATGGGCGTCGCTAAGACTTTTCCCGGGGGGGAAGGACTCATCGACAGTGAACTGACCAAAATAATACGCGATTTCCATCCCTTACTCGATCCCGTTCCCTATTTTTGTGTTCCCCTGTTTGTACATTTTTTTTTCGGGGGGAAGGAGGCGCCCAGGCTGTGAAGTCCACAGAACAGTACTGTATGTCCTAAAAGGTTGTCCAGGAAATAGATTACGCTGTGATCAATTTGCAATACTTACAACAATGCTTTGACAGGCACTAGTATCCGACCAGGCATAGCATGGATTGTAAGCATACTTCCACGATCCGGCTCCAGCTTGAACGTATCCAAACCTGAAGGGGTTAAGATAATGTTGAACAGATATTCAGTAAACTGTGTCAAGCAAAATCCAACCAGAACCATCAGTAGCGTATCGGTAGCTTTTTGGGTCTGTGTGTGTGTTGGGGTTCAAATTCATAAGGTTTGGCTTCGGACTTCGGGCTTATTTGACATGATGTTGGGGGAGAAAATGATCAAAAGACTTACTCGCGGTCCCGAGAACCCGGCGTTCATTTCATGATGTTGTTTTTCATAGGGTTTGGGTGATAATGTTTGATAGATAAAATAACATTAAACTAAACATTCGATAAATGAATATTAAAATGAAAATAAAAGTGAAAAAAAACCCCATCGAGGGGCAAGTTGCCCCCCGCGTGGTTACGCCACTGAGAACTATTATATCAGAACATCAATAGCTGGTTTTGTGAAGGCCTAGTAGTTACACTTTGCCGCTTCACGCTGTGATTAGCAGGCAAACAACATAAATACGTGTATTAAATCAAAATCAACGTTCCCTTGATGATCCAACTAAAAATCTTACAACTACATGATTGGCAGATAAGCAGTAACAACTAATCACATACAGTGACCACGTATTACACTGGGAGGACATTTCTAAAAGCAATACAAAGCACAAACCTTGGAGCTTGGCTCCCCTGATATCCCAACGATCGGATGTTGATCTCCTTACCGTCGTCTGTCTTGCACGAGCAGTCATCTACTTTAGCACACGCTGGCAAGTCTGCCTGGCATGTGCCCATTAAACACGCGTAGGAGATGAAAAGCAGTATTCTGTTCCTGAAACGTTTCATTATCGGGTAAAAACGATCTGTTGCTGAAAAAAAAACGACCGGAAAGTGGACTGGCTGCCAGTGTGTGTATACATGACGGTGAAGGTCATATGACGGTGGCTAAAAAGGGACTGTGTAAATAGTATTTGAGCATTGAACTTTATACTGGGACCACTCAAGTCTAGTTTGCAGAACACCGTGTAAGGCTAAAAGTTCAAAATACACTTTGCGGTACTAGAGACCATCACCTCGGCAAAGAACGCGTACCGTATACATGTAATTGCAAAACGAATTTCAACGTGGATGGGGTTTCTGATAATGAAACGTCAGATCTGGTACGGTATTGTAACGAAAGAACCTTAGGAAACAAGAAAAGACAATAGAGATGGAAGAAATTCTTGGGGAAAACCTGCAAGTGACCTAGGCTTGATTCGAACCTATCTTACCAAGGTGGAAGGTGAGAAAATTATCGCTGCACTAAACCGAGTGCCAAGAGAAAAACCTGAGTACGTAGTCTAGCGAAACAGTCAATGGATTGATACAAGTTTGGTTAGAAATATCTGGTCCCCCTGACGTCTGCTGCACTTAGTGGTGCGTAGTCAGTAATTTTCTAGTTAGTTCGTCTCCAGATGTCAAGAGGGAAGCATCATCGCGTATTATTAGCGAGTTTAGTGTTCAACCTCGTTTAAGTTTGGGCTGTGCTTTAAATTTTGTCGGCACCATGTGGACGGCTGCGAACGGTGAGACTTTAGAGTAATTATTAGGGAGCTATCACCTATCATAAAGTGGGAGGGAGTACCAGCTTGAGAGGCCGAAGGTTGAGCAGAAGTGGCTGGGAACGTAAAGGCTCGTGGGGCTTGTGCAACGGTGTTCCCACTGCGGTCTTGTCGCGTGTAGTCACACTGAGGCTTTCTCAAAGCTCCGAAACCTCAGTAAGCCAATAGAGCCTGAAAGTTGACCCCTGATGGCGCGCTTCTGGAACCCTTGGATAGGAAAAATAACGTGTAAAGATTTTAGAATTTGTAATATTTTTTTCGTTCAGTTACTTCTTAAAAGATCCAACTCAGAAGAAGGGCTTTGGAAAATATTTGCTAGGCTAAGTATATCAATTTATAGAAACTGAAAAATTACCTGACCTAAAAGAGAAATATCCTGCCAAAAATAGACCCATCACTTACGACAATCTAAAATTCATGAAGATCAGTGCAATGCAAAACAGTCCTTTAATTTATAAGTAGTAAATCTAAAGCAATATTCTAATTCACTTACGAAAGATTCTAAATTTTATCTAACCTTTGCTGACAACAACTGCATGGTGTCAACTCAACAGAATCTGGAAACCATCGACTGGAAGTAGGTGAAGTTTTGCAACGTTGTACAATCTCATGTTCACGTAAGCACGGGCAGTGAAAACAAACGTGCATGAACATGGAGACCTACATGTAGATACGATATCGCCAGAAGTGAAAGGTCATTAAGAAAATTTGTTTTGTACATACATGCATCTCAATGTAACTTTTCCTAAATATTACTGAGGAAGACAAAGGTAAAATTCCAACATGAGTGTAGGTATAAAAAGGTATAAAAAAAGTGGGGAGGGGGCACCAGTGTTTTCCATCCTTTAAGTGATCAATTTTTGCGAAGCCATGGCGTGGGGTTCGGGGCCCTTAATCGGGCCCCGGGAAATTTTGGATTCTAGATTCTCTCTGGTGCAATCTTGAGGACTTTCCGGGCCACTTGCTTCTGTAATTTGGCCCCAAATTTGCTTGCATTTACAACGTGAAATAATGACAAGAATTTCCAGTAAAACCGTAAACCAATATACACGTACGTAGGCCTACGTGCTGTACCATACAATTCGTTTCATTTGGGTTGCATATTATATACATTAGCACAACTCTACCGATTCTGCTAATGTGTCGCTCCCGGTGGCCTTCATGAGGCTTCTGCAAAAAATTGATATGACGTATCGGGAAAAAAATACACCTTCAGTAAGTTTATGATGAAAATTGTATCGTGCGTATTTATTCAAAATGACCACGGACATCGTCAGCATACATTACACGCTGGGTTTAAAAAGATACCTTCTTTAAAAAAAATACTAATGCGATATTTTTTTGTCATGGAACAGTCAAATAGTAAAATCCGAGCAGTCGACTGATGTAAGTAAAATTGTCTGGCTGTTTTATTGCGGGAAAAAATTGTGTCCAAAGTTCCCGACAATCTGCACCAGGGTTCCATACAAGTAGGGCTGTAGGCCTACTGGCGACAGGATGTACGGCCCTACTTGTATGTGTAGCGCTAAGTCGTGCCCACTGCCCATGTCAGGTGCATTTCGAATAGTTATTGTAACGGTTCTTTAAGTTGTCATTCAACTTATTACAAGCTGGAATACGTAAGAACAGTCATACCGTTAGAATTCTTTCTAACCAGATTAAGGGGTGAGAGTTTATGATTACCACAACTAAAATTTCTTTCAATATTGCCCGCCATCTTGTTTTGCACCTTGCGTCCTAAAGGGGGCAGACCATTAATTCATGTGAGAGTTTCTGAAAAGTGCCCCCCACAGTATATTTTGAAAAAAGAGATTGTTTGGCCCCCAAAATGGTGAGATTGTGTAAATCGTTGCCAGGATCAACTCCCTGGGTCTTCGAGCTTTCATATAAGAGCAGAATGGCTAAAAACTACGGTTGAAAAATGGTCCTAAGTGCCCGAGAAAGTTGAGAGTTCCACTTGAAAAATGGTTGCAATCAGACTTCGGAAAAATCACTTTTTTTGGGGGGGGGNGACAAGAAATCTCAGGGATGTTGGCGTGCATGTTATTGGGCCCTGAACAGTGCTGATTTTACACTGTTTTCAATGGAGTTTGAATTGGACTGTACCCCTAATCATGCATGCCTTCAATGTGGTCCAACACTCGTCACTAACGTTGACCAACGTGCCACGGGCATGGTGAAATTGGTCCCTCATCAAGGCCGGACAAGAACACACACCCCTAGTGCGTGCCGAGGTGTATACCAGTAATAAACAGGGGTCGCCGCGTTCGAGTTAGCTACAGGTACTCGTAATATCCCAGGGCAAATGACTCCAGATAATGCGCACGCAGCCTATCAGAAGTAGCCGCTCGAGCGCACCATGGGTTTCCAGCATTTACAAGAACACGGATGTAATTTGATGCGACGTCCAAGACGAGAAAAGTCGGCTTAAAGTGTGCCTTTCTAAACGTTTTGAAAACTAGCCTTTTCTGAACAAACTCAGAAAAGATGCTGTGTAAATATCGTGCTTCATTATTTTTGCGTCTCACAAAAGTGGGGGGTGTGCCCCCGCCCCCGGTTCCGACAGCCATGCTTAAAGACGCAGCGTGTTCTGAGGATTACAGTGACATTGTAGGCTGTTGCCACGTTCATTGCCATTTCCTTCAGGGTTGGTATATTTCCAACAAACGGACAGGCCTAGTACTTGAGTCCTCCGTTCGTGACGTAGTCCCCCGTTATGTGCACATATAACCGGTCGTATGCGTGTGAGGTGTAAGAAATATGTTTGTGGGATAGTCAAGGGCTGCTGTTGTGGTGTCCCCGTAATCAACCCCCCCCCTCCATCCGAGAGGCGACAGTTAGCCCAATTCGCTACAATAGGATAAGCAGCACTTTGGCTGCATAATGAAAGTCTAAACCGTAAAAACGTTTGTAAGAGTAAAATCCGCTGATTTATACAAAACTAGTTTTAAGCCTGTATGACAACATTATACCCCACAAGCACATTACAAAGTGCAATCTTTATTATCTACCTGTTATTTACTGGAAATAAATCTATGTGTATCAGGGGAGTATTCAACAAGAGTAAACAAGAGTTTCCACACACTTCAGTACAATCAGCACAATCGGATTTTTTTGGTGTCGAAATATTTTGGGTTTCAATTGGTAATGAACTATGCAGCAACCCCCTGCCTTTCTCGCTTAAGAAGGTACCGGTTAACTGAAATGAGGTCCGTTTTGGCGTGATATCAGACAATTCTGCATGTCCAAAATTTCCTGAGATCTTTACAACAGTCAGATACAATTGAAAAAGAAATGAATTTCTTTTCATAGCAACCACCAGTCTGTTTGACATTTATTTAAACAAAAATCAGCTTCCAATATAAAACTTTTATTGATCATCTCATAAATTAATTGAACTTTACAAAACTATTTGGAGGTTCAAATTTGTCGCTAAGAATCAACTCGTGTCAAAGATAATTAAGCAAACACGATTGAAAGTCATTCTATTCTTTAAAAATAGAATAACACAGAATTTGGTCCATTCACGAAGTATATGTGTATGTAAATTGAAAGGAATTTAAAAAAAAACAGGATCCCGGGGAAAAAACATTGATAGGTCAATTACCTCTCATTAAAATTAACAGGTGTTGATGCATTGTTTTCATTATGAGTACAATGTACATTGTCGTATGTAATAAGTGGAGACTAAAGGGGCCTGCAAAGTATACTCTACATATATAGTTAACACAATTTAATTAAATTTCATTTTAATAACACGTAGAAGCAGATTAAATCGTCATAAATCTATCTGCTCGATCTGTTCGTTCCAAATGTACTCCAGACAAATTAAATTACAATGATAATCGGTGATGTCTCCATCTATCTAATTGGTTTGGTAACCCTTTTACTGAACGTTATCATACATGCAAATTACAACTGAAAATCCTGGCAGAGCAAAGTTGAGTTAAGTCAGGTAATGGAAATTAATTGCTGGACTTGCACGATTGCCAGGTTTGTCAACAGTTGAGTCAAGTGCCAAAAAGTGATAACAATTCATCCAGTATACACGAAAACGCACAGTTTGCACGCAATAGACTCATCGATTCCACGTCCATGTATGAATCAACACAGACACTTGAAATATGACATTAAAATATTTAAACTGTATGAAGGTCGCAAATAATAAACTATTGCCATTTTACAAAAAAGTCACGCATAATTTCATCGTACAAAGTCTAGTGTTCAAACTCGTGTACATTGTTTATACCTCAAATTTAAGAACACACCATGAACTAGGTAGAAAGAGTCAAGCATTTACGTTGATTAGTGGTAAAAAAATCGAAACAGATGATTACTGAACGTTAAAAATGAAATCAAACGTGGGTTTTCTCTGTGTCCACAAACTTATAATTCAACAGAAATGGCTAACACGTGATAACAAACTGAAAATCTATTTTCATTTTCCTTTCACACAACTCTCCCGCATCTTTTGAATACCAGTTTACCAGGAGATTGGGGGATTTTGCAGATTTGAAAAATGTACAGTTTGGCGTTGTCCTCGGCATAGGTTCAACTAAGAACAGCCATTGGTTTCTTGCACTGTGAAGGATTTTGGAGGGAGAGTCCTATAACAGGATCATTCCAACTACATCTTGGACGAAAACAAATAGTTTATATTTCACTGTATCATGCAGAGTGTTTGCCACAAGTGACGACAAATAGGAAACCATCCTACAAAAAGAGAAGAAAAACAAAATAGGAATTACATTACAATTTCACTCAGGTAGTGTCATGATCAAACACCCTCAGATGCTAGTTGTTTGCAGCGCTTTAAACATTTAGGTCGGGCTGCACCGACTTAGCCTTGTTCATTTGTTGCAGCGCAGCGCGCGGTAGCGCGCGCCTGCCGCTCGAAATCAAGGCAAAGAGCGACCTCACGCGGTGTAAGAAATATGCAAATCAACTGAACAAGGGTCGTGCGCATGCGACGAATGACGAACGCCTTGACTAAAGGGTGCAGACCACTAATTCGTGTGAGGATTTCTGGCCAGCTCATTAGCATTAAAAGTGCCTCCAC